TAGTTTTAAAAAATAATTCTTGTATTTATTAATTTTAATTATTGCGAGTTTTGAATTTAACCATATTCTTATAAATTCTTAGATGGTTTGTGTTCATGTATGATGGATTGGGAAAGGCGTATTTCTTTTAACATCAATTAACAACAATAAACAGCCCTTCCCTTACCCACCACTAATCGGAAAAAAGTTAAGAATACATGAAAAACTGAATAAGAAAATCCATGAAATTATTCTTGTTTCTCATACTGAATGAATTATGTTTGCAAGAAAGATGTATAGTTGTATAGATGGCCACTCGTATTCGAAGATACCCTTCTACTAGCGCGGCTAGTCAATCCCTATTGCAGACGCTTGCTCAGTCGCATTTGTGTTTGTTAAACACGCACAGACCCCACCTGTGGTTTATGCTGCAACTATGTTGAACAGAGCTTAATCCTGGGAAAGAGTTTATCATCTAGCGTGATCAACAGATTGAACAAGGACAACACGATCAAGCCCTCGATAACTTTGCTCTAGGATATCTGTCGTTGCCCCCCTCCAGGGCCTCCTCTACCCAATTTCATTGATTTATTTCAAAAACCCGTGGTATGGTCTTCAAAGGATCAAGACCTCCAGTCCGATAATCTCATATATATACATATAGATATATATATACCACCGTTTAACGCAAAGATAAAATACGGTGTCTATTTTAAATACGTATCTCAATATAATGAATTTGAAGTAATATATATATATATATATATATATATATATATATATATTACTTCAAATTTCATATATATATATATATATATATATATATATATATATATATATATATATATATAAAAAAATATACTGAAAAACAAACAAAAATCCTAATATGTGATTATGCTGTTTTAATGTTTAATGTCAACGTCGGACGTTTCGGTCTAATAGACCATATTCAGGACATATTCATAAAACATAATTAACATAGACCATATACAATTCAACATGAAAAAGACGATGGACATAAAAGCAAGACCAATCCAAACAGATAACAGAAATCTTTTAAAAGATTTCTTTTTCATGTTGAATTGTATATGGTCTATGTTAATGAATTATTTTATGAATATGTCCTGAAGATGGTCTATTAGACCGAAACGTCCGACGTTGACATTAAACATTAAAACAGCATAATCGTATTCTTAGAATTTTTTTCATATTTTTTATCATAAATCGGATATATATATTTTTATATAAGTATTTATTAAAAGTAAATACACCATTAAAATATGACAATCACTGAAAGAACAGCCGAAGGCGATCGGATATATAGAACATTTGGAAAAGTTTTTACAAACTTTATACCCAGAGAAGAAAATCTTTTTTCGAATGCAAGAACAATAAAAATGCAAATTGCAGAAACCTGTCAATCGTCTGTAATGAAACATTCTAAGCAAAAAAATACTGATAAAAACGATAAAAACGGATATGCAATGTGATAGGCCCTGACCAGACATCTCAGCCACTTTCTCACAGACGTGATGTGGCTTACCTTTGACTTACCTCTCACATACAGAAGATTCAGATAATTTCTATACAATTCACGTCTAAACAGAAAAAAAAACTTATAAAAACACAATAAAAATTTTAAATAAAATCCTTTATTACCATCATTGTTAACTACCTGATGAGATGTTTTATTAAAAGTCGAAACAAAATGTACAATTTTGTAGTAGTTACATCCATGTTCAACTCTTGTAATAATCCCTGTTTTAAATTAATGTTGTGAACGTTATAATTTTATTCTTCGTTCTTTTATATATATATATATATATATATATATATAAGTCCGTTGTATATATTCTAAGCCGATCCCTAATAATATAAAGTATTATGCTGATCCACAAAAAGAGCTCAGTGTATTTATTATAACAGAGCATATAAATTACATAAGGGAAAAAATTACCTCTTGAGTATAGACTATTTCAATCAATGTCAATAATTTGGATTTGTTCGACTCAAATGGTGCACTGAGTTGAAGAAAGCCAAAGTATTCATGTTAGTTGAAATATATATATACATATATACATACATATATATATACATACATATATATATATATATGTTTGGCTGACTTTCCCTGACGATCCGTTTAGGTGAAACCTAGGTAGGTTTGTCTGGCTCACTAGGTGTATCTAGGTCTGCTCTACGATTGTATTGAGCTCTTTTGTTAGTTGTTTACTCGTATTGGTTTTTTTTCTTTGGGCTTCAGACCTGCATCTGTGCGATTTTTTTTGTCGGCAGAAGTTCATGTTTGTAGCTCTTTCTTTTTTTAAAACCTTTTTTTTCCTCGAGATTGATTTGATTAGCAAATCAAAAATTTATATATATATATATATATATATATATATATATATATATATATATATATATATATATATATATAAACGCTATAAACTCTTTTCATAGATACTGGACACTTTTCGTATTTCTTCTGTGTCTTTCATCTTTGTTGTGTGTCTAAATGAGTGTTTATTTGAATGAATTTGGTAGACTAATTATTCTCGCCTCGCCTTAATTTCGTCAGCCACAATTTAAGAGTTGAGCTATGACTAACCCTATTTTGTTTATTTTTTAAAATACCTATTAGATTTACATTTTTTTAAAAGGTTGTTATCCCTACACCTCTAAATAAACTCTGACCACTTATATATTCATAGAAAAAGCTATGACATTATGGCGCCTGGAGTAAGAAGGTTATGTAAGAACGTATTTTTTATTTTTAAGGAAAATTATAGCATGTTTCAGTCTGTGGTCGATTCGAGCTAAAGAAAAAGTAGAACAAAGTAAAGGCAGCCCTCTCTATCCCCTTCTGGCCTTTTGCCATACTTATTGTTAATAACAAAAATAAATATTGCATCCAATGCTTTTTACACTCACGGGAAATCGGGCTGCGATCAAAATCTAAAGTATCTGCTATTTTGGGACTTGGCTCTGGTGTACGCTCTGGTGAACTTGGGATTTGGCTCTGGTGTAAAATTTATTTATACTTTGTGACTTGGCTCTGGTGTACGCTCTGGTGAACTTGGGACTTGGCTCTGGTGTACGCTCTGGTGAACTTGGGACTTGGCTCTGGTGTACGCTCTGGTGAACTTGGGACTTGGCTCTGGTGTACGCGCTCGTGAACTTGGGACTTGGCTCTGGTGTACGCTCTCGTGAACTTGGGACTTGGCTCTGACCAAATACGCTCTCGTGAACTTGGGACTTGGCTCTGGTGTACGCTCTCGTGAACTTTTTTTTTGGCTCTGGTTTACGCTCTCGTGAACTTGGGACTTGGCTCTGGTGTACGCTCTCGTAATCTTGGGACTTGGCTCTGATGTACGCTCTGGTGAACTTGAGACTTGGCTCTGGTGTACGCTCTGGTGAACATGGGACTTGGCTCTGGTGTACGCTCTGGTGAACTTGGGACTTGGCTCTGGTGTACGCTCTGGTGAACTTGGGACTTGGCTCTGGTGTACGCTCTGGTGAACTTGGGACTTGGCTCTGGTGTACGCTCAGGTGAACTTAGGACTTGGCTTTGGTGTACGCTCTGGTGAACTTGGGACTTGGCTCTGGTGTACGCTCTGGTGAACTTGGGACTTGGCTCTGGTGTCCACATTAAACTGATCTTTTGTCACCTCCTGTCAGCGTGCGAGCGGCAAGTAAATACAAAGTGTAGTATCTGCCTTCGGTCGGACAAACTAGATTTTAATTTTCAATTGTGCTTCTGCCTTCGGACCGAGTGTCGGAGAAGGAGGATATATAGGCTGGGTAGCGCAAGGCCCACATATACCATCGACAGTCTAGGATAAGGAATCTGTAAATTCAAACCCTTCGCTACCTCATACGTTCTGCCAATTTAGGTAAAGGCTAGGTGAAGTCGACTTCAAAAACAAATCCACTTTAATAATTAGCCTTGGATGGCAACCAGTCTAGGAGAAGGAAACTGAATTCACACAACCGGCTGCATAATAAGTCTTTTCTTTTTAGGCAAAGGTTAGCAGAAGGTAACTTGAAAAACAAATACAGCTCTGAGGGGAGCGACGGAGTAACCTCAACATCTCCGGTATAAAAGGAACCGGCAAGCTATTGCACTATTTTGGCAACCATGGATCCCAATTGTATGATGGAGGGGCGGTGCCACATATGTTAAATGAATGAATGAGGATCTATACACTGGTATTTGAAATATTTAGTACATACTAATTCGACATCGTGATTTGTATGAAGTATTCAAGATACGTTCAGTCGTGGCTTGTAATCAAATTTCAGATCATAAAACTTTATATTCTCAATTCATCAGCAACAGGAAGTCACACAAAAACAAAAACAAGTATTTTTTCCAAAAATACATTGTCATTGTAGTTTTTTTAGGATAAAATCTGAAAGAAAATAATGTATTTTATTAAATTATTTAAACAGTAATTGTTCAAAAATATTTTTGAATTTACTGAAATGTTTTCATAAGTTTTCAGAATAAATTTCCAAAAACTTTACGCAAGAATTTTTAATTAAAGGACAACTTGAGGGATTATTCTGTAACGGAATAAAAATATTACAGCATTTAAAAAAAAAAAAAAATAATGAATATTCATGAATGTATAAGTCCTGAAAATTTCATTTAAATAGCATAATTACACGATTTAAAAAAAAAAATTAAATATGGTTTGGTTTCGTTTGTTTCACAACATGTCAATATCATTGGGTTTTTTAATGTCGACAAAATTTTTATTGCTGGTAATATTTTTTTTTCAAAAATGTATTGCAGGTATTAAACAATTCTTACACTTTCATAGTGTTTGGACCCGAATTCAGTATTCGGTGGATAACTATTTTCCCATTGCTGGGACCCTAACAGGTGCTACCACTCCGGGTCAGGGTGAACCTGGGAGCATCAGTAATTAAGAGGTGGTCCTACGCTTCTCAAAACCTTCTGATGAAAGGCCTTGTTGCTGAATGTAGTTTATCGTCTATTAAATATGGGGCAGCGTTTATTTGCTTTCATATTCGAAAAAAATATGGATTTTGGTACTACAAAGATAGTCAGAAAGACGGATAGATAGATAGATAGATAGATAGATAGATATTGAAAGAATTAGATATCGAAAGAGATAGATAGATAGATAGATAGATAGATAGATAGATAGATAGATAGATAGATAGATATTGAAAGAATTAGATAATGAAAGAGATAGATAGATAGATAGATAGATAGATAGATAGATAGATAGATAGATAGATAGATAGATAGATATTGAAAGAATTAGATATTGAAAGATAGACAGATAGATATTTGAAAGAGTTGGATAGATAGATAGATAGATAGATAGATATTTGAAAGGAGAACTATCTATCTATCTTGCTGAGATATATATATATATATATATATATATATATATATATATATATATATATATATATATATATATATATATATATATATATATATACCTGGAAAGAAGGAAAATTCGGTAACTAATATAAAAGGCGATTGAAAGTTATTGATTTTAGGGCCGATCTGGTTGTAGGAATTTGGGGACTAAAACCCTCCTCTATATTTTTAAATAACTGCAAATTGCGGAATCTAGATTAAACCCCCCTACAACAACAGGGCCATACATGCAGAACTGGTGCTGAGGGGTCTTGTCTTACTTCTCCAATATTTTCAAAAGTATTCTTAAATATGGGGGGTCTAGATAAAACCTCACTGCAAAAATAACAGGGATGTACTTTCTGAAGGAGGCTATTTTCCCATACGTTTAAGTAAGTATTAAGTAAAAACTTAAGGGTTCCAGTCAATATAAAACCCAAAATCGACTTTTATTTCATAGTTACCGAAGCTTCCGTTACCGAAGTTTCCGTTACCCAAGCTTCCGTTACTAAATTTTCGTCACCGAATTTTTTTAAATTCTTTTTCGGCATAAATTTTCGATACCTAAGGTATAAAATTAAATTTTTTTAATGAAAAAGCTGTCGTGAAGATTTTAGCTTTAATTGAAAGCTTAATGATTAAATGTATTATTTCCATTAAGTAAAATATTCTGGTATACTTCAGATAGAAATTATATAGATTGGAATGTCAAATTTAATTTCGATTTCATAAAATTTTCTTAAATTGTAAGAATTTTGTAAACAAAAAATTCTTTAAAAAATATATATGTTTTTCTGATACGTTATTTGAGTAAAATTAGAAAATTTAAATTAATCTGATTTGAAATAAATATTACTTATAGCATAAAAAAGTAATATACAACAATGATTGGTCCTGTTCATCTGATGGAAGGTTTGATGGACTGCTGATCGATGAAGCGATGACAGCTACTATGGATGACTCTAATTGACATAATTTCCAGAAATCTAAGTGAACGCATTTTTTTTTAGTTTTTAACTACCTAGTAATTTTTACAAATGAACATATTTTCCGCAATTATTTAATTTTTGTCCCTTTTATTTACCTTCCGAAGACGCAAAAATAAATAAAAATTATAATACTATAATTTTTTTTCAATTAATTTTATAATTTAATAACAAATGAAATACCATGTTTACTCAATTGAAGTATGACACACACTAATGTAAATGCATTAACTAAAAGCATTTAGCGAAATAGTATTTGAACAAAGTAATTGAAAAGTAAAAAGTGGAAATAGCCCAATACAGAATTTTACACGATTTTAAATTATTATAATTAAAATTAAAAAAAAATTTTAAATTCTTGTAAAAATTCATTATTCATCAGAAAAATTTTATTTCTTCAGACAATAATGTCCTTAATATTACTTATTTACAAAAGCAATTAAAAGCTTTTCTAATCAAATAATGTCATAGTTTTATTGCATTCATTATTTTTCAATTCAGAGCAGATTTTCAGTTAGAATAGCTCAAATTTTAAAAAATGTAGGTGATTTACAATCTCCAAGGACTCCGACTTTTAACAAAAAAAAAAAAAAATTCAGGAAATAGAAAGGTTTTGTGTGAAATTTCATAGGGTTAACATATTTAAAAAAAAGCCAAAATTTTCTAAAAAAACAACATTTAAAAAATAATGTCATTCATTTGAGAATAAATCCTGAAAATTTCATTAAAAATCGAAAAAAAAAAACTGTTATTTTTATGCCACCGAGTTGACGTAAAGAAAAGAAGATTTTAACCAAAATTTCGAAAGTGTTAGAAAGAATTAAAAAATTTCAAAAAATAATTAAAAATATTTGGTCTTTCATCTTAATAATAACATAAACATTTTGACGATAAAGCCTCATTCTTATTATGTTTCTGGCTATTTCATTACGCTATGCTGTTTTCCGCGAAAAAGTGAAGGTCCCTAGAGGATAGATAGATAGATAGATAGATAGATAGATAGATAGATAGATAGATAGATAGATAATGGACTGAAGCCGATAGACAGACACACACATAGGCAGACAGATAGCCTTTATTTTTAAATTTTCTGTCTACTCTATTTTTCATTCCTGTCATTTTTCCTTAAAAACCCAAACAAATAATACGGCGCCTGAGAAATACCAGGTCAAAGGTCTCCGGGTGCCGACAGAGCCATCTGGTGTCAGCGAGACCACGTGACACGAAAATGGCGCCTCTTCGTCGACCATTCTTGGCGCGCCTCGCGAGACTCGATCCATCACTACGCGTCACTCACAAACCGGCAGGCACGCTGATATGAACGGAATTTTTTTTTTGGCCCCGAAGGTCTCAAAAGCAACTACTCGTTTACCATTGGCAGCAACTGGTGACATTCATATAGAAAACTGTGACATTACTGATTGAAACCAGGTCTTTTGAATCAAACATTGTTGGAGGCTTCCTTGACAAGGGCGCCTTATGCCATACTAAGGCAAGTTTCATAAATGACACGCAGCTTATTGCTTATTCTACTACTGGTAATAAACAATAAAGTGAATAATAATCCTATTATAATGGTGCTTCTATCTCCATCCGTTAGTTCGCACGACCGTTACGCTCTGCCAATACCTCATAAATAATAGCCTATTCCGATTTGATCGGGTGGAAAGGGCGGGAAAAGGCATTACTTGGTTACAGAGAGATATTGAAAGAGAAGAGAAAGTTCGGGGAGAGAAAGAAAATCAGATTAAGCTGATAAAAACAAATACTACACTTTGATCTTAGTCAAGAATCCGCGAAGCGATTGTTTGTTTAGAGTTTTGTTCTATCTGAAAACAGAGACACACGATTGGAGTTTATCCGCCCGTGGACATATACTGCAGTTTCAATCCAGTCAAAAAACCAAGAAACAATTGTATTTCTCTGCCGTCCCACGTTGAATTTCAGGGCTATATACCACAACTTTTCACTGATAAATTGGACAATAGTAGCCTGAATATTCCGCATTCTAGCAACTTCAATGCACAATAATAATAATAATAATAATAAAAAATCCCCGTCTTGTTGGATAGATAGATAGATAGATATTGAAAGAATTAGATAGATAGATAGATAGATAGATAGATAGATAGATAGATAGATAGATAGATAGATAGATAGATCTTACTCGTTTCCATTCATTCAATACCGTTCGCCTGAATAATAACACTTTTATCGCGGCCGCCATCTGATCTCATGCGGATAAAGTACATTATATCTTTCAGCGTAACTGAAAATATTCAGAGATGACCGTTCTCGGTAAAGTGCCTGCCAGCGTCAGTTCCTTCCTCATTGCACTAAAGAGGGTGGGATCGGTTTTAAGACATGGCCCGGGTGCACACACTCTTCCCCCACATTAAACTGACCTTGTGTCATACTATGCCAGCTAGTATGACAAGAAAATACAACCACTTTTCGGCTTTTTGGCTGAGATCAAAGTGGAGTGTCTGTTCTTATCATCTTAATCTGGTTCTCTCTTTCCACTCCTATCTTAACTTCTTTGATTTTCTCCTTGAAACCAAGTAGTGTTTTTCCAGGCGATCAAAATGGAATAGTCCATTATTTATGAAAGTCAAATTAAAAGCAAATAGAGTCAATGCCGCTTCATGGACAATTTGAAACGGACATTATGGCAAATATTCGTGGGATTGTTAGATGAAAGGCGAATTGAAACACAAGAATGGAAGCCTATTGGTAGCCATGAAATTCCTTAAATAATAACAGTTTCTTCTCTTACAATTCTCGCTTGTAGAATTCTGCTCCGATCGCTTGCTTACCAGTCAATTTTGAGCTTCAAAAATTTAAATACAATGCCATTTTTTTTGTCTTCTGTCTCAGTTATTTTATTTTCCTCTCTCTTTAATAATGCTTTCTTTTAATTATAGTCTCACACACCCGATAACTCCTTGAGTCTTGGTGACTTTATTGCCTTACTTGTGATATGTTTAAAAAAAAATCTGATTATATATGGAAGAGCGGCTTACGGTTATACAACGTTGAAAGACCAGTTCAGATACGATCATCGAAATTAAGCAACGACTTGCCTGGTCAGTATTAGATTATTAACCGCTTGGAAATACCAAATGTAAACTTGGATGTGTGGCCGGTGTAATGGATAATGATTCAGAGAGGCGAGTTCAAATTCCAGTTGTGTTCGTTATATATATTCACTTACGCGCAAATACTGTTGAGAAAGTTATAAAGCCATCTCTTTTCCCTCTGCTTTGTGAAGCATTCGAGCTTTGTACCGAGTGAAATGTAATATATCAATGTTCATTGTTTTATTTCAACAGGAAAAAATGTCAATACTGCTAAAGATTTCTTGAATCTTCTTCCCAAATTATCCGATCATCTAAATTATGTTTTGTGATTTGTGTACGGAATCCTTTGTCGATTAAAAGAGCTCTAAACACTTATTTCTTCAGTGTTAGACTATTCTACTTCGACCCGTAAACAAAAGCAGGACGGGGGCTAAAAGGGGCCATAATGTTGACGTTTGAAGAGTGATTTAAGCGCCCTGTGACCGACTATAAAACCTAGAAAAGAAAAAAAAAAGGCAAGAAAAAAAGGGGGGAACTCCAGTTACACCCTTTTACTTCTGGGTGTATTAAGAAACTGTCGCTCTCCTTTAGAAGTTGAAAGTCAGGTTGGTATTTCCGCAAGGAAAATGAAATATAGGCTCGTAAAATCAACAAAGAGAGAAACAATACACTTTCTAAAGAATATAAATATATATACCTATTAATATTTGAACACACGCACGCACGCACACACACACATATATTCAGTTGTATGGATATGAGTTTGTGACCATGCGTTTCACGCTTTTGCGATCATCAGACAAACTGTTTTACTTTTTTGAAAAATGGATCTATTAATGTTTATTTGTATTTGATTATGTTTTATGGTGGTAGGGTGTCTTTTCTTCTGTGTCCGTTTTGTGATACACTCGGGGACACACAAGCACATATACATATAGGTGTATACATTTTAGTTCACACAAATACACCCATATAAACAATTCGAGGTTAAGCGCAGATACACATCCATAATTTCGAGCATACATACATACGAAATTGTAACCCTATCTATCTATGTATCTATCTGCCGATAGATAGATAGATAGATAGATAGATAGATAGATAGATAGATCGATCGGAGGCACGGTGTATTAATGGGTAACGGCTTGGATTGAGGAATTAGAGATCCGAGCTCGAATTCCAGTCGAATCGATTACATTCACTTACGTGCTAATGCCTTTGGGTATGATGTGAATCCTTTATTCTCCCTCCAGCTACGGTTAAATAACAGGACAGACTGTGTTCTATAGCCTTGGATAGTCTAGGAATTCAAAGCATGCGGAGGGTCGTTTTTTTTTGGGGGGGGGGCTGTGGCACCCTTAGCCATCATAAACCTGAAGATGATATTGGAATATATCGACAGTATTCAGGAAAATAAAAATGAATAGACACAACCATGCACTTTTTACTCATGAAGCAATAGGAATCATATATAGGTATTAATGTGGATAAATCAAATAACTAGATATTAGAAACAGCACATACGTGCATTAGCGTGCATACACAGGTAAACGAATAAATATTTGCTTAATTTAAGGTGTAAACAAATCATTGTTGAATGTGATTAAACAGCGCTAAGAAGTATATATTAATAAACATACATATACCTACGTTTGAAATGCATCTTAATGTTTCGTTGATCTACCAACTCATCTGGCACGAAATATTACTTTTGATTAAAAAAAAAAAAACTATACTTCTCGAACATACGGATCTTTTATTGTAAATTACAGGTGATAGTATGGGTGTGTATTATAAACAGGTTTAATCAAATATATTTTTCGTCATTGATTTATAATAATAAATACTTACTTGTTGATATATAAATTTTTCGTTCATTTTTACTTTCTCCATAAACGTCTGTTAGTCTCATTCAACTCATATTCTCTAACTGCAGCTCCTTTTCTTATTCTTTCTGCTAATTCTATTACTTTTTGTTTAAAATTTGCACTATAACTCGCACGGTTTGACTACATTTTGGCGATGGGAGAATCCATATATTAGGCACGATGTGTAACGAATGTACGGCCGCAATTTTCAACCGATCTGCACCAAAATTTATATGCACATGCTCCAAATTAGCAGGAAGGCCAAGACCGACTTTGCATTTCTCAACTCCTATCGATATTGGAAATAATCGATTTTTTCACGCTTCTACGGCAGTTTTCATGTAGTTTGCGGTCATTTTCTACTGGCCAGAGAGAGACCCTATAGCTGGCTACCACGAATAGGTAGGAAGATTCTATTGGCCAACATGAGAGACAACAGCTGATTGACACGAATGTTAACTAGCATGCTAGCATTCAAAAAATTTCGATAGCTGCATTCGTCACAAGTGGGAAAAATTTTAATTTGCATGGGACTTTACTCCAATTGTCTCATTCGCTTTCTTAAACTCAACGTTGATTCTGATTCCGCAGAACTGAGTTGGGTGTGAAAAAGTATTTGTTGCTAACATTCTTTTTTCATTCGTTTTATTTTCAGTTAGGAGTCCTTTTTTTAAAGCTGATCGTTTTGTGTTCATTTTGTTTAGTTCTTTTATCGTAACAGATTTAATGTTTAGTATAGAGCTTAGAAAAAATTCGCAGTGTGAGATAGGCAAGAAGTAAGGCATGTAGCAACATCAGAACGGCAAAGGACACTCCTTTAAAGGCAAGGAAGGGCAAAATATTTTAAGTCAAGTGATAGCGATTGCTGTATGAGTCGTACGATTTTTGAATCAAGCACGGGCAACGCCGGGCCATGCTGCTAGTATATATATATATATATATATATATATATATATATATATATATATATATATATATATATATATATATATGATGGACCGAGCTTATGTAAACAAAAGAAACATTTTATTCGTTCCCTATGTTTGATCGAAGGATTTTCCATTTTATACTTTTTT